AGAAGTTATTTTCAGTTTGCTTGTGTGCTTAACAGACTCTTCAGGTGTTTTGACTGTTTCATTTAGCTTTATTCTAGATGCTTCTGCAGCTGTGGAATGAAGTTCATGTCTAAACAACCAACAGCTTATTGGCAATGCTGAGATGCAGGAAGTATTCCTTATCTCTCATCTTTGAAGATTTTTTCAGCTCTCAGCCATTTGGGCCAAAATATATAACCAATATTATTTTCTTTACTGATATTTAAACCTGTGAAATGCCCAACCTTTTGACATGATATGACATTGTTACCTACAAATGGATTGGACCACATTCATACCTCTTCAGGAATGCATGTGGCCCACAGGAGAAAGTGCCAGCCAAAAAAAGTACAGCGATTTATCACACATTCTGTGTAACTATTGTGCAGATAACCACAACAAAATATGACCAACTCCCTTGGTCTCCTCTCCATCGGGACCCTTCCCACATACCCACAGAACTAAGCATTGTCTTGGTGTTCATGTGAATAGCTGTTAGCTTTTCATCATCATCTGACCAATGCAGTCTGTGGCCCTGGTCATTGTAGCTTTTTGTCTCTTTTTGAACTTGCTTTTTTGTTATTCTGAGACAGGTTTTTTTTTTTTTGTCTTTTTGAGACAGGGTCTCTCTGTAGCCCCAGCTGGCCTGGAACTCACTATATAGACCAGCCTGGCCTTGAACTCATAGAGATCCTCCTGCCTCTGCCTCTCAAGAGCTAGGATTAAAGGCGTGTGCCACCACACCTGGCAAGACAGAATTTTATATAGACCAGACTAGCATCAAACTTGCTGTGTAGCTGAGGATGACATTGACCTTCTGATCCTGGTGCCTCTACTTCCCAAATGCTGGGATTGCAGGCATCTGCCATCACTCCTGGCTGTCTTTGTGCTTTGAGTGAATGAATTCATATGTATAGTTCTTCATTTATTACCTTGAGAGACATTCATGTTTGTGGACATAGCAGCATATTTGTTCTCAGTGTTGTGTGATATTTCTTTTTATACATATACTAGTTTGTGTTTTTATTAATTTTTATTGAATGAGTGTTTTGCCTGTATCTATGTAAGTATGCGGTGCCTGTAGAGGTCAGAAGAGGGCATCAGATTGCCTGGAACTGGAGCTAAGGATGGTTGTTGGCTGCTATGTGGGTGCTGAGACTCGAACCCAGGTCCTCTAGAAGAGCAGCCAGTGCTCTTACCCCATGAGCATCACTCCAGCCCCTGGCTTCTGTGTTCTGTGGTAAATCAGCAGTTTTTTCCAATTAATTCCTATTATAAACAGTACTGCTATGAACATCCTTATGCATGTTCTGCATTTGTGCAGAACATTCAATGTAAAATTGTTAGGTCATAGAAAATGCAGCTTTATGCTTTCTTTTTTAAAAAGACATTTTATTGTGTATGTATATAAGTGATAACAAGATGTTGATATGTGTGTATATAAGTGTACCACGTATGTGCAGTGCCCAAGGAGGCCAGAAGAAAGTGCTGAATCCCTTGGAACTGAGTTACAGAGGCTTGTGAGCTGCCATATGGGTGCTGGGAACCAAACCCAGGCCCTCTGCAAGTGCAGACAGTGCTCTTAACCGCTGACCATCTCCAGCCTTACAGTCTTAAGCTTTTGTAGTTGATGCCAAACGTCCCAACGGTTCGGCTATTGTTTCCACTGGTGCGTTAGACTTTCCATTTCTGTAAGCGTTGAAAATTTGCCATTTTCCCAATTGTAGTCATTCTGGCAGATTGTAATGATATCGTTGCACTTTTAGCATCTCTCCACTAAGAAAAATGTAGTAAGCAGCTTCTGAAACCGCTAAGGCAAAGCCTTTATTTTCATGTTTTCCTGCTGTTCTTGTCTTTTGAAACCACAATCAAGAGTTGAGACTCTGTTGAAAGAATACTGTAAATTTTAATTGGCTATATGAAAACAGTGAATTTGAAGTATTACCCAAGATTCCTTCTTTATACTTTTTATTGGCTCATCCAAAAAACAGATGTGTTCTTTCTCTTCATCGTTGTTAAGCTGCCGTACAGGAATCCTGATCACCACTGGATGGACTTGAGGAGTAAATCTTTCTAGTTCTTCAGGAACTGAGCCAGTTTTGTTAGGTCCTTTATTTAAATAAAGTGCAAGTGTAGTAACTGATCTAGATTGGCATCGAATGGCTGGCCACTGAAGTGGAACAGACCTAACTGCTCTTGGGTAGTCTCTGAAATGTCATGATCTGAGATTGGTGTCTCTGTGTTCTTCTTCAACCAGAAAAGGTATGTTGGAGCCAAGAGTCACCAACTGTAAATTTAGCCCTGCTTTAAAAATGCCATTGCATAGTGAAAATTGTAGTGGGACTTCTTTTTTTTTTTTTTAATCATGGCAGTACTAACAATGGAGAATAATTTAAAAGGTAAAGCTTTAAAGCTTATAAATAATCTCAAAATGTATATGTGCATTTCAGTCTTTATGCACTGAAATGAGAATTATGGGAATTTTCCATATAACTGAGTGTCCAAAGATACTAGTTGCCGATAAGAAGCTGTTTATAAATAAAGTGTAAAACAATTGTTTTATTTCCTAGTAGTTGATAGACTACTATAAATTTAGATGGGCGTGCTGGCACACACCTTTAATCCCAGCACTTGGGAAGCAGAGGCAGGTGGATCTCTGTGAGTTCAAGGCCAGCCTGGTCTACATAGTGAGTTCCAGGCCAGCTGGGGCTACAGGGAGACCCTGTCTCAAAAAGACCTGAAAAAAAATTTTTTTAAGTTTGTTTTTTTCCCCCTTATGTTTTGATTTGGTTTGGGCTGGGTTTTTTGGCTGTGCTGTGGATAGAACCCAGGACCTTGTGTCTGCTACATATTTACTCTACCACTGAGCTTCATCCTCAGCCTAATGCTTTTAAATAGAATAGTTTATTCTCGGTGTCACCTCAGACTTTGTTCTGTTAGTAGTCATTTAGCAGAAGAAGGACTTTCATTTGTATTTATTGGTTATTATTTGCTTTTTGAGATAACATCTGGCTAAGTTGCCCATATTGGTGTTGAAGTGCTGGCTTTACACAGTCTCTGTGTCTCCTGGACAACTGGTAGTTACTTCCCGTGCCCCCATTCCTGGCTTTGTAGGAGTTTAAGCTGAAAAGTTATATGCTTTCAAAGGATACAAGGGACTGGAGAGATGGCTCAACAGTTAGGAGCACTGACTGCTCTTGCAGAGGACCCAGGTTCGGTTCCCAGTACCTACATGGTGGCTAACAACTGTCCATACCTCCAGTTTCATCAGGTGATCTAACAGCCTCTTCTGACGTCCTCAGACATTGCACAACACGAGTACACTTACATACATGCAAGCAACACACTCGTACAAAACAAAATAAAAATAATTAAATATTTCTTAAAAAGAATTGATACAAACCTACTCTGGAACAATTATAATTGAAATTTAGAAGACAAATAAACAAATGTAAAATCTGGGAAGCAGTAAAATCTGTTCCCAGTAAAAATGAAATAGGGAACACTGTGCTTCCTGTGCGGATTTTGTGTGTAATACACTTACTAGTGAACCTGAATTATTCCTTCTCTTTTGCTTAGAAGTTAGAAAATAATTGGTTGCATGACTTTTTAACTAATGGTTTGATTTTTTTTTTTAATCTTTAAATTCTCTATAGAGTCACAAATAGGTTTTTCTGTTACTCGGGACTTATCAAGAGAATGTGAAAGATTTCTAGCACAGGTAATGAATATTAAGGAAGACTTATTAGAATGGAAATTTGCATAAATAAAAGCCAAGGAGATGTCAGAGTTCTTGTTAAACAGGGTAAAGTGTTGGACAAGTAACAGACTGAGAATGAGAACAGAAAACAGCTGTGTACATTTACTCTTTGCTTTAATGTCTGTGATAATTTCAAAATATATCAGGTACTTGCTACAAAATAATTTCACAGAGTTTTTACTTTAAAATTTAGTGTCATCAACTAGATTCTTGTTAACAGTGTCAAAGCTTTTCATATCCGTGTTTCATAGCGCTAACAGGTAGCCAGTCTTGATACGGCCAGATAAATAATTCCCAAGGTAGTAAAGCATTATCAGCCCCTTTAAATCACTTGTAGCCCCAGCTGGCCTGGAACTCCCTATGTAGACCAGGCTGGCCTTAAACTCTCAGAGATCTGCCTGCCTCTGCCTCCTGAGTGCTGGGATTAAAGACGTGTGCCACCACATCCAGCATTATATTTGGCTTAAAAAAATCTTATTTATTATTTTTATTTTATGTGTATGAGTGTATTAACTGTATGTATGTAAGTGCACCTGTGTTATACAATGCCTGTGGAGGTCAGAAGAGGGTGTCAGATACCCTCGAAATGGAGTTATGGATAGTTGTTAGCTACCATGTGGGTGCTAGGAATTGAACCTGGGTCCTCCGCAAGAGCAGTCAGTGCTCTTAACTGCTGAGCCATCTCTGCAGCCCCCTGTATTTGGCTTGTGAGTAAAGAGAACAAACATGACAGAGTGATTCTGATCTCTGTTGGCTGCTCAGTTTTAAAAAATATTTTATTTATTGTTTTTACTTTATGTGCATGAGTGCATTGCCTGAATATATGTTAAGTGCACCTGTGTCATGCAGTGCCCTTAGAGCTCAGAAGAGGGCATCAGATCCCCTAGAACAGGAGTTACTGATGGTTGTTAGCCACCACGTGGGTGCTGGGAACCCACTCTGCAAGAGTAGCCAGTGCTCTTAACTGCTGAGCCGTCTCTCCAGCCCCATAATCTCTTTTTAAATTGAAACATGAAGTTTGCTTTCTATAGTACTTTCTCCTGTATGAGGCATTTGTCAGTTAACAGTGGAAACCCTGGGACTCTTGTAGATTTATGCCAATAAATTTGTTACTGTTTTCCTTGGGTCCTCCCTGCCTAAATGAAGACTAAGAGGAAGGAACACCGTAGAAAGTGAAGATGCAGACAGAGAATAGCCGTTTAATTTCCTTTGTACTTTTCAGATAAAGACACAGACGTGAACATCAGGGGCAGCATGGCTGACTTTGGCCTTCGTGACACCTTGGACATGGAGCCCACAGAGTTCTTCACTTCTGCAGCAGAGGTAAGGAAGTCTGTTCACAGCAGGCTCCTTTGCAGGAGGAGAACGTGGCTTTGCCATGTTACTACAATTCAGTTCAGGTGTCATTTTACTTTTCACTTTTATTTGAGATCGGGTCCTGCTGTGTGGTCTGTGCTAGCCTGGAACTTTGACCCTCCTTCCTCATCCTCCTGAATGCTAGGATTACAGGCATGAAACACCATAACTAGCATTTAAAATTTCTTTCTAATATATAACTTAAAAAAGTATTTCTTGGGCTAGGCATGCACAGGTCCTGGGTTTGATCCTTATGACCACAGGAAAAAAAATTTTGCTTAAGTGTTCATTGGACTCACTTTACACTCGGGCCTGGTCCTGTTGGGTTGATGGTGGGTAACCACAGCTGCTCTGATGAAGATGGTAATGGGTGTTCTGCTCTAAGATAGAGTTCCACAATCGACAGTTATAAAGAATTTGTACTACAAGCTTAGCTTCCCCAAGTTTGAGACCTGTAATGCTTTAGATTTTTTTCATATTTTGAAATATTTGCATAGTAATGACATATCTGGGAATGAAATCCAAGCTAAACATAAATTTATTTATATTTTTCATATACCTTAAAGGTAACTTTATGTAATATTTTTGGTATACTTGTACTTCGCAACCCATACAAAGTGAGGTACGGAATTTCCACCTGTGCCATTATGTCCGCACATAGGTTTCAAATTTTGCACCGTCCGGGTTTTGGGATTTCAGATTAAGGATATTTCCCCAGTGTGGTAAATGCTAATTTCTATTAACTGACAGTAGAGACCAACAAATTTCTACTTCTAAGCCTAAAAGTTGCTACAGTGTTGAGATCAGAACTAAGTTGATTCTTCTTAATGGTCAAATTTAGTGTCCTAAATAACACCATCATGAAACCCAGTGAAACCTTAGTCTCTTTCCAAAGCTGCACAGTTTCTAAGAGATGTTTCTCTGGTTGCAGAGCCCCGCGGTCCTTTGGTCCTTTTTCAGTTTTACCTGTTGGGATCCTGACATTGCTGTTTTTTTCTTTGCTCCTCTCCTTGGTGTCAGTCAATTGGCCAGTGTCCAGGAGAGCACAGCCCATGTTAGGACAGTGGAGTGAGGGCCAGAAGCCATGTAGTCCTTGGCAGCCCATCCCACAACCCTGAGTGTGGGCCTTTCTGTCAAACTTCTTAATAGCCGTTTTAGTCTTGAGCAGTGACCTCTGGTTCTTGTCTGTAGCTTATTACAATTTTAGATATAGCCCTTAGTGGTTGTCTTCCTTAGTTTTTTAAACCTTTGAGAGGTTTAAATTCTACCAGCCTCTTACCTCAAGAAAACTGTCACTGGTTTGAACTGCAGTTTCATCATATTTGCAGCAGAAATCATGCTGTATTTTCAACTGAAGACACACAAGTGCCTGGCATCAGATATGCTAGCTCTGGCTCATAACGTCCCCACCAACAACTGTAACCAGGCTCCCTGAACTGAACGCTTCTTCATCCAGGATCGGGTTAACGAATGTACATTTCAGAGCTGGTCACCTTTGCAAAGAGGAAAGCAGTGCTGAAGGGCCTGGTTTGTGCACAAGTTTCTGCCATCGATACAGGGAGAATCATTTTCATCCACAGGCCATATGTCACTTAAATTTTGGTCCCAGACACTTATACCTCCCATACTTTCAAGAATAAATTCTGCTCTTCTTCCACCCCAGAGATGCCCATGGGCTCGTCCGTTGGCCTGCCCAGCCTGCACTGAAAACTGCAGCTGGTGGCGCTGTGTGGCCAGCCTAGCACTGTTGCCTTTCTCTCCTGCTTGTAATTCCCTGGCTCAGTCTTATTCCTTCCTGGGGGCTGACAGCCTGGGGCCACCTCCGCCTTTGCCCCTCAGTTTTGGAAGTACAGGCCCTGGTCCTGTCCAGAACCAGGCAGGATTCATGTAGCCAGTGGCCGGGGGACCGCCACAGCATGGCCGCCAATCCTCTCCTATGTCCTGGGGACTCAGAGTCCCTCCCTCAACCCTCCACTTGCTTTGATGATAGTAAACAGTTCCAAAGTTTTTACCTAAAGAATTTCCATGCTATTTTTTACTTATTTATTTATTTTTAATTTATTTTATTTTTTTGTCTTTTTGAGACCTGGTCTCCCTGTAGCTCCAACTGCCTGGAACTCACTCTGTAGACCAGGCTGTCACAGAGATCCGCTTGCCTCTGCCTCATGAGTGCTGGGATTAAGGCGTGCACCACCACGCCCAGCTATTTTATTTTATGCATATGAGTGTATGGATGTGAGTGCACCCGTGTGTCGGCCCTTGGGGGTCAGAAGAGAGCATCGGATCTCCTGGAACTGGAGTTACAGGAGGTTGTGAGCTGCTGTGCGGATGCTGGGAACCGAACCCAGGTCCTCTGCAGAGCAGCCAGTGCTCTTAACCGCTGAGCCATCTCTCCAGCCCCATGTATGTTTAAGTTTTTAAGAAACCTAAAGGATGTTTTCTAAAGTATCCATCATCACCAAGGGAGGGTTTGAGCTGCTCCATAGCACCAATAATCTGTCTTCTTAATGTTAACATCGTATCCCTTTGTGTTTTCAATTAGATCTCTTAGATGACCAAAGATGGGCATATTTTTCTGTCCTTAACAGTTCACATGTGTTCTTTTGTGATGTCGTTACACAAATCTTTTACTTATTTTAGTACTTAGAGTCTATGTTTTGCTTTTGAGTTTCAAAAGTATTTAAATATATTCTTGATATAA